GACCACAAATAGAACACTGCAGAAGCATTGTCAAGAATGTCACATCGTCCTTCCTCGCGTGATCACTCTAGTAGCCCAGAGATGTGATATTGTGGGGGGAGCACTGGTTGGGCTCAGTGACCCAGATGCTGCGGGTTCCAGCCTGGCACGTGCCCCTAGCTGACGGGGATCGGGATTCCCCGAGAGGGTGACACACTCGCACCATCAATACGAGTCCTGCTCTGGAACAGGCTTAGGATGCGTGTGCCTGTGTGCCCTGGCCCTCTCAGCTTTTGATGCCCCAGAGACTTACTGCAAGAGTCTTGAAGGACACCCCCTCTCTGGACAGCGACAGTGAGGGTCGCTCTGCTCCTCCAGTCGTAGAGGTAGAGGACGGTCAGCTGCCATTGTCTCCAGGGGTCCGCCTCTCTGTCTTTCTTGTCCCTGTGTGGACACAGGATTCAGAGGCCCGTTAGGTCAGAATGAGTCAGTTCCTGAATAAATCTGACTTTTTAGCATAATTTTGCTTTAGGAAAACTCATTTTAGTTATCCTTTCCAGACACCTGCAGGTATCTGGAGATCAGAGTCCACGGTCAAAATATGTCCGGCTTCAACGTGAGGGGAGAGCAGAAGCCGCTGTGCGAAGCCGGCATCAAATCCCAGAAGGGCTGCAACATCGAGAGGGTTTCCAATACGGAATTATGCATCCGCCACGACCGGAACGCCAGCATCAGGTTCAAGAACGAGACATTTGAAGGCACCTTGATGGGTAAGAGTGTGTTAAAGGGCTGTTTCACCCAGCACACACCTGTCTCAGACGTGCATTCCTCTCTCGTGCACTGGTTACACTCTGACCACCACCTCCTTTCTGCTCTTCCCAGGAGCCTGCGTGGAGGATCACAACGGTAAGTGGAAATTCTGGAAGAGGCAGCTAGTTCTCCAATCCAAGCAGCAGCTTGAGGTTCTGATGCAGTGAGTCGGGCGCTGCGTCAGGGCTGTGTTATGGCAGATTATTGCAGACGCCGGGTCAGAGGTCAGGGGTCAGGGGTCGAAGGAGGAGGTGCCTGAAACAGCCCATGCTTCAGGAACATGGGCAGGAAGAGATTCTGGGACTGGAGGGTCCGGCTGGGGGTGCCCCTCTGGCTGTGTCCTTGTGAGTGTCCGAAGTGACGAATGCACTCCGGAGAGCTCTGGGATCCCTGGATCACCGGATGTGTTTCTGAGGAGCTGACACTGTGCTTGTTGTTTAGGTCTCAGCTGCACTATTGGCAACCATCCCCAGAATCCCGCTGAACAAGGTACTGGTTTCCTAGATTTCCCTGTGCTTCCTGTTGGCAACAGAGTGATACCCACACAGAGCAGCATGTTGACACAGTGGTCAGCATTACTGCCTCACAACACCGGGGCCCTGGGTTCAATTCCAGACCGGGGGTGCTGTCTTTGCGGAGTTTATACATCCTGCTTGTGTTTGCATGGGTTTCCTCCCACAGTCCAAAAACATACTGGTGGGTTAATTGGATTCTGGGAACAATGGCTGTAGTGCAGATCTGTTTTTGATTTCTGAAAACACACAATTCTCTTTCCCTTTTCTTTCTGTGGGCCCTTCTGTAAAATGACTTCAGGATAGGTTCCCTGGCCTCTAGCCCTCTGACCCCCAGGCGAAGTCTGGGTGCCCACTCCTGGTTCTTTCCAGATATCAGAGAGGCTGGAGACCAGGATGGGGGGAGAATCATCCGACTGCTCTCCTGCTCATTTCCACAGCCCCGACAGACGGTGCTCAGAAAGGTCTGCTGAGTTCCAGACAGGACAGACACACTGTCAAACAGTACACAAGCTATATGTCTCTCTCTGCCCATAT